GTTCGATTTCCAGCTTTAGCACAAACCTCTGGTTAAACCTTCACAGAACTAGTTTATTATTTTTGCCATTATGTCTCCATTTTGGAATTGAAGTACTTCCTTTATTATATTTTGTATTTTGAACTGTAAGATCTGTTTCAGTATATGACTATAGCTGAGAGTATAAGAAGCCGTCACAATGACCTGCAGGATGATGTTCTAACATGGTCCTTGAGTCTGTAGATGCTATCACGTAACTGATACTAATATGAATTAAGTGATACTAATATGAATTCTGTCCTCTGGTTTTTAATTTCATCTTAACTTTATCTTGGTAAAGAGCCCCATCTGAAAGAGCACAGACCTTCACAGACATGCTGAGCATCTTCAGCAAGAGCTGGGGGCATTCATCACTTCCCAGGAGAAACACAGTACCTTGTACAATCAGGCACAGTCTCTACAAGGTAAATTGAGATGGTTTAAAGAGATAATAGCTTATCTTGTAAGGATTCTGTTCATTCATCCACAAGCACACTCACATAGGTATATCTCATATGCCAGATTAAAAACAGTTCAAGCATTGTTTAAGTGGCATCTAAAAATCTGTTATCAGTACTTGTTTCAAACAATTCTACCATGGCTCATAATAGTAAATGAAAAATACTTTTGTTTACTTTTACCTCTTCAACAGCTCTTAAAAAAAATAAAAGCCATTTCTATAGTTCAGCTGAACACTCGACTGCCTCGAGATAAGTAACAGGACAGACTCTAGCACAGGACACCAGCTCGTTCTCACCACAACAGCAGCTCACACAAACTCTCCTCGACGCACTCCAGGTGGGTGGGAAGGCTGTCTGCTGTGAGACCTCGCTGCTGGCTTGCAGTCCAAAACCAAAGGACAGCACTGAACCCAGACAAAAGCTTTCCAGTCATATTCTTTACACTTAGATAGCAAGGGAAATCAAAGCTCTGTGTGCACGTACGAGCGGATCTCTGTTTGGCCATCTTGTAAAACTGCAGTAGGACACCACCAATTTAAACCCCACCAGAGTTTCTGGCCATACACCCCCTATGTGTTCTCTGCATAGCTGCAAAGCTCGGGTAATACCTGACTGTCAGCAGGGCTTACTGTAGGTAATTCCACTTCCACAGTTTTGATACTTGACCCAACATAGATTCACGATACTACCTAGTACCACAAAACCACTAAGTCTGTAAGACAAGGGGCAATTGAGATTTCAAGGGGCCTTGGGTGTAATCAGAGATCTCTCTTCCATTTCTAACCCCCATCTTTGTAGCTGCTGTGATATTACTGAGAGCCAGAACCCTACTGCTTGTCTTCACAGCACCTGCAGTCCAAGGCTGGGTAGCAGAGTTGGAAATTCTACTTCTTCTCTCATCCCTTTGGAAGAATAGGCTAGCCAGTCTAGCTCAGCCCTCTCCCTTACCCACTCCCAGACTCCCAGACCTCCCACACACAGGAGCTCGAGTTTTCTTACTGGGCAGAAGAACAGCCAGCTGAGGAGTGGGCATGGAAGCACGAGCTGCTTCCAGCTCTCCCACCACTCTGTGCCAAAGTAGTGTGCAAATACCACTGCCCAGTTCTTCAGAGAAACAGGTTTGCCCATACTTGGTTGAACAGAAGTCTAGTTGCACGAATGTTTAAAGAGTATAAATATCTAATAACTTTAGCACCCTATACCTAGAATAACACAGTATTAGAAACATGTCAGTATACTGCCCATGACTGGGGATTTGTTTCAAGTTTATACCACTGTTCATAGGAGTCTTGACTGCTACACTATAGTGACTCGTGTAACAGTTCATATCCATCACAACCATGAAAGCCTGGCTGCACTTGACCCATAATGCTTGGTTCTGATGATATGAACATACCACTGAAAGACAAAGACCAGCCCATGTGAAAGTGAATGTCAGGAATACTTAGTGCAATTCCTCAACATCTGGATAGACATAAATAATATAGACACATCATCACTAAAGTAAGTAAGTTTTGGCAATACTTTATTTCTACCACATATCTATTTGATAGGCTACTGGACAGGGTGAAGGATGCTTAGAACTAGTAGTAACATGAACATTGCTGGATCTAACAACTTTACTAGGGCAATCCATGCTCGTAACTCGGAGTAGAGTGGCAGAGGGAAACAGATACTTAAACCAGTAACACCTACTCCAGTGTTGTGATCTTCACAACCAAATACTTCCACTTGAAACCAAATAAAAGCAACAAGACAGGAACAATAAAATCACTGTGTCCTATTAAGAAGCAAGCAGCACCTGAGCCCCATCAAAACATTATAGTGCCCTTGCATTTTACAAAGTACTGGAGAACGTTGGGGTGTGATCATTTTCTTCATTAGATTTTGGTATTACCAAATATGAAACTCTCACTCACCAAGTTGTGTCACAAACTACCTAAACCTGCAAGGCACCAACACTGCAAAAGTAGGTTGTAATTGTAAATACTATATTATTACTAAATGATTTATTATACCCTTGAACTGCTAGCAAGACAGTAGTTTGATTCTGCTTACTGACCTGCTGATGATTTAACTATGACTTACCTAAACAAAAATCCTAGAGCTATGAATCTCCTGAATTATCTAGGACCCTTGAACTTCTGGATACGACCTAGTGCTATAATGAGCCACTCCAAAAGCCCAGGCACAGTCCAAGCAAGTATTCACACCCTCAGTGCTGATCCACTGACTGATGGGTTGGCAGCTTTTGGAGCTAAGATCCCCTTCTGAGTTTGTTACAGTGGCAGTCTTACAAGAAGTACTTCTGAACAGTTAACAAATGTAAAACATAATAAAACTAAGGTTTAGCCCTGATTTGGTGTTGCAGAATTGCATTGCTTGTATATGTTATATAATATATAACCAATGCAACAGCTTCCTATATAAAAATCAGCTATTTGCATATTAACTGAACAGAAGCACTCTCTACCTGCTAGGAACAGCTCTAAGCCATGACTGGGATGTCCAAGCCCTAGATGGAGTGAAACTATGGAACATTTAGATTAGATTTCTTCCAGATTTAGTTTAGATGTCCTACAGTTGTCATCTCTGTGCTTTTTCTTAAGTTGCCACATCTTTGCCCCACGCAGTCATCTAATTTTTCACTGAGGAATAAACAGGTCAACATAAGGTAGCTTCCTAGGTTCAACATCAGGTTTTAACACGGTGCCCCACTCCAAAACATACGGTATTTCTGCTGTTGATGTTGAAAATAAATTACACTATCTTTTTCTCAAATTGTCAAAAGCTACCTTTAAAGGGAGATCCAATGTTTTCCATAGGTTTTACACTTTCAAATCAGAGAAAGGAAAAATCCCATTTTTGGCTAGTGAGTCTATTCTGGATATGCACAGATGGAGTGAAATTATTTTGTGGTGTAACTGATAAGGAAAGTTAATCACTAGATAGAAATTGGTTGGAAAATAGATTTAAATGGTAGAGCAATATAACTTGCCTTATTTGGCTGCCACCGGCAACACAACAAAAGTAGCACTCCTGAGATGCAAAAGAGGTGTTTATAGCAGGGAAAACAACACAGAGACAGACATGCTGAGGTCTCTTTATCTGATAACTTTGTGGTAATTGCCTTTCATGCCCTGTGGCATGGAAGATGCACTAATTTGGCATGCAGTGAGTACAGCAGAGAAGCATAATGCAAACAAAGAAGAGTCAAACTCCAACACTACCACTTTACCTCACTAAATTACCAAGGTGCAGCTGTGTTAGAATCATCACAAAGTCTGGGATAGACATTTCTGTGGGCCAACATCAACCCCTTCCTAGAGCCCAGCCTCATTTCCACCAGTGTACCTGGCTGATTGCACCAGCTCTTTCTGAGTGGCTCTGCTGTGAGGACTGGTTCTATCTGCTGGCTGAGACTTTGCCCTTGGTTTGAACCCCAGCTGAATGGTTACAGGCATTTCGTCCTCTTGTCCAACTGTCTGCTGACATCTCCTATACTGAAGGTAGGGAACCTTCAAAAACTGCTTCTACCAAAATCAACATGAATTTTGCCTCTGATTTGACTGGGTTTAGAACTTGTCTCTCTCAGCCCTTCCTCTGCCTTCACCAACTACTGCATAGAGGCAAAGTCGTCAGTATTGCTGAGCATAGCTCAGTTCCCAAACACCTCCTTCTGTCAAACAGGTTTTTAAAATGTTCTTAATTTACATTTTGGGGTTTTCTCCTGTAGTTTTTATACTGGCAGCTTCTTGCCTCCAAAAAAAAACACACACAGCTGTGAGTACGTGTGCTCCCTCTTTCTCATAATAGCTGACCCAAAGGCAATAAGCCTTGACTGCTCACTGCAGGGAGCAATGCACAACACTACGCTCTACCTGGCGTAGCTGCAGCTCCTCCACATCTGCTTCATAGTCCCTCAATCAGCATCCAGACTTAGCACTTCATGTAGTTTAATACTGGGAGAAGAGTGGCAAGGGCAACATGAATGAAAGAAGAATGGACTAAAGTACCTGTACAGGCATACACACAGATAGAAACGTGGTGTATGCTTGCTAATTTTTATTGTTTGTTGTTTATAATCTGGTCACACCCCTGGTCCCCAGCCCCATTATGAAAAATCTTATCAGTGTACTGTTCTACACACGCAGCGATCTTCTCCACAAAGGTTAGGCAGCAGATGCCAGAGTGAGATATTGTATTAATACAGCACTGAGGAAATAATTAGTAATACATTGATCCTTTATATCCCTATGAATTTGCTAATAGAGGCCAGGATTCACCCCTTTGAACGGTGAACCCAGCTCTCACTGCATTCAACACAAGTTGTTCACGTCTCTGGAAGTTGCGTGCGGAGGATTTGGTGGTGGCTGTTACAGCAAATCAAGTAAGATGCAACAGATGCAAAGAGAAATGGCTGGAGAGGGACAAAGAAAAAGTCCAAGGTCTAAATGCCAGGTTTGCAAGCATGCCAGCTGCTCTGCAGCACCAGAGAGAGAGAGGCAAATAAATACTCACCAGGTTTAATTTCCAGCAGCTTCAGCCTGGAATCCTCAGGGGGATGCAAACGCCTCTTCTTGCGCCAGCAACGTGCTGGGTACGTGTACAGCTGACCCGGGGCCAGGCCTGAAGATGAAAGGCAAAAAATAAATATAATCACATTTCAGTTTGCAAACCACAAGCACTGTCTCTAGCACCTTTGTTCTTGCCCTTCCAGCATCTCCTTGTTGGAGAGTTCAATCCTGCAATTCATGAGGCAGAACAACAAACTCAAGGCATCCAGTTCTCCTGAGGATCCTCAGCACTTCTTGGAATCAGGCCTACAGAGAATCTAGGTCTCACTTAGACACTTCAGTCAGCTCACTGAAACCAGAGCTGCACATAAATAATTTGTGATTTCTTCAGGGTAAACAGAATTTCAGACTCTCCTGGGTCACAGGGGCAATGCCTCCTCCACGGGCAGAGAAAGACCCTTGGGAGAGACGAGATGAAGTTCTGACATGCAAATCAGAAGGCCCTGATGCACAAAGCAGCTCAGGAATTCTGTATCTTCCAAGTGGGAGTGAACCAAGATCCATGAGGTCTGGCTATTTGGACTTTCCACTTTTGCTTAAATTCTGAACTTTTGTTTGAAGACAGACTCTTCATTCTGGCTATTACCTCCTCGTGCCAACATCCTGAACGAGGGAGGAGATACAGCAGTAATGTTTGTATTACTGCATGCTCCATTGAATCCCATTTGGCATTGCTGGCTTCTGAGCTGCCCTGGCTCTCCTGAGACACCCCTTAGCCAATGTTCAAGCTATGCTTTGCTCTCTTGTATTCAGAACACAGCAGGGCCTCGTGAATGCATCACTACTAGGGGCACAGAAGCACACTGCCAAGTGCTTCAAAGTATCCTCAACTGCCCCAGATACTCATGACACACAGAAATACCCAGCAAGGCACAGAAAAGTTGGAAGAATTTCATTCTCTCCCATTTCCCTTGCCCTCTCTGTTCACCAATTCTGCTTTGGTTCTTCTGCCCTGCAGTTGCTTTTACTCTTGAAAGGGCTGCAGAGTGTGGCAGAAATTCCAGACTCACTGCCCTTAGAAAGCAGTTTAAATCACATAAGAGAGAGGACAGGACTGGTGTTACCACATCTCAAACTGTACCAAGAGTGGACATCATCAAGGGGGTGTCAGTAATGCAGAACAGCTCAAGGGCACCAGGACATCCCACGAGTTCTCTCATCCCTTCTGAAGCAGCCAGGAGAATGTACCAGCTTGGGCACAAAACTGACTCACTGAACTGAATGAGGATAATGAAAAAAACAATATCTTGTTACTGGGGGGTGGGGAGAAAGACAGAGCAAAATCATTCACCTCAAGGGAATGGGCTAATCAAATTCTGCAAGTGAAGCCTAAGCTCCTGGCCTGAAATAACTCTTGGGAATGCCAGATCAGACCCCACCTACTTCCAAGGCCTTGGTGCACCTACAGCACACTGCCTGGGTATGGCTGAGCAATGGAAGATTTGCAGAGATCCTGGCTATTCCAGGGCATGGAAGGCTACTGAACTGGGGCTTTTCACACCCTCTTTCATCGCTGTGCAGCTTCCTGGGCATTATGCCCACTTCAGGAAGAACACTTTTAAGAGCAGGGCACTTGGGACTGGTTTGGGAATAAAACTGTGAACAACTAGCACTTCTACAGTGTCTGGATACACTTCTTCAGGGCACTTTGCAAACATTAACCACTGCAAACAATCGCTATTATGACGAGGTGGATTGTGCCCAGCTCTGATGTGAGTCACTAAAGAGGTGGAGGCAAGAAGCCTCACCCTTTCACAGCAGCTCCTCTGCAAGAACTTGCTCACAGCACTGAAGTGGTGGTTGCTAGACCAAAGCAGTAGGACAGAGAATTATCCTTCTATTGCACAGGCCTCCACAGAGGAGTCATTTGAATTAAATAAGCACCACAGCTATGAGCATTTGGCCCAGAGAGAAGCAAGGATCTACTGCTCTTTTGGGGGGGGTATCTGTTAATGTGGGTCCAATTATCGAGCGCTCTCACATGAAATAGCAGTTTTGGATTCAGCCAGGACAGTGAAAGCTGACCACAAACACTGAAAGGCCAACGAGAAACAAAGCAGGTATCCTTGAAAAGACAGAGGTGAGAAAGCCTCTTCCCCATAGGATCTACAGCTCACTTCAGGTGGCAGACAGATCAATAAGAGATGGATGATCCAACATCAGTCTCTGCACCCCTTGAGGTAAGCTCTCTGTTCCTATTCACAATACCCTTGCTTGTTAATACAAAGCCATCCAATGAACTTAAAACATATACCAGACCTTCACTTGATCCAAACCCATCAAATGCTACCTTCAGTTCTCCAGCCTGACCCCCATCTGTCACTGTGCTGCCTCACACGAAGTGTGGATCTTTGATTGTTTACACAAAGGAGGGGCAACAAGGGAAGGGTCAGTTCTGAATGCTTTGAATCTAACCCCTCCACAGGGGTGATCTTGCAGTGCATATGGAAATAATGCATATACAGGTCTCACAGTCTTCAGTCCTGGCTCAGTTGTCTCTCCCTCTGGTGCCTTATAGGGCAACCAGAGAAGGTTCCAACCATTTGCTTATAGAGGAAATAGCAGAACCTGCACTGAGTTATGTTGTTTATCTCATTAGTGTAGGAGAGCCATAACTCAAAGCTGGTGTGAAAGGCCGGGGGAGGAGGGGAGAAGAAGGAGGGAGTTATGTGCAGTATTGTGTGAAATTAACCCTGAACTGTTTATCATGAGATGGCGTTTTCTGACTCCTTTAACAAAGAGGACAGCAAGAAACCAGGTTAATATGCTGAGATCCTGGCTCTCCTCTCTGTTTTCCCAGTCCTCTGTAAGTGCAAAGAGGTCCTGGAGCTTTGCCATTCGTCTTTATACAGTTTCCAGGTTAGGGACAGTAAATGGCAGTGAACACAGTACACAAGACAGACACCAGGGTGGTCAGCAGAGAATTTTTGGAGCCCTTCAAGTGTGGGCATAAGCACATTGTGTACAGCTTGAAAACAGGCAAGCTAAAACTGTAGAGGGATGCTTTGACCCACCATAATACTACAAGAAATAGATGATGCAAAGACACCCAAGGGAGCACTAAATGGGCTAATAAAAATCAAGAAAGAGAAGGGCAAATACAGGGGAGGAGGGCTGCTTCATTTCACATGATTTATTCCAATCCAAAATAACAAAGGTCCCAGATTTGGTGGCTGATGAAGATGCAGGAGCCTTGTTTCACTGAAGACTCTCATGGTTCCTGGTGTGATGTCATGACACTGTTAGGAGGATTTCTTCTCTAAGTGCAGAGATGCCAACAAAAACCATGCAAGACTATCTGTGTCTATCTTTGTAGTAGACACTCTTGCCAAAACATTACTTGTGGATGTAGTGGATGTATACCTGCCTATGCCTGAGTTCAAAAGGATAAAAATAGCAGCATCTTACTCATAACCAGATGCTGCAAGAATAGAAATTCCTTGGGTAAACGGATTAGGGGAAAAAAAAAAAAAAAAGAGGAAGAAAAGAAAAGCTAGTTTTGCCAAAGCATAATCTTTTAGGAATGGGGAATTTTCAGATGAAACAAAAACCCAACTGTGGTCGTGAAGCAACCTACAGAAGAAGGGTTAGTCGAGAACCTCAGACAACTCCAGCTCATAAACCACATTCATCAGTCCCAGATTACCCCAGTAGTTTTGGCATCTGAAACTTTCTCAGGGTATTTTTAATGTGACAGAAAACAGGTGTTTTCCCCATCTCCTGCACTAGAAGTGGCTGCATTTTAGTATAGAGTTTTCTGATAGTACTGCAAGACCACACTAAGTCTATTTTGGATGTTTTAGGAATAGGAGCAGTGCAAAGATCCTTCCCTCAGTATATCCCAGAAAAGGGAGAGGGAAAGTTTCAGTTAAGCACTCTTCAAAAGCAGCAGTTGCTTTCTTAGCCCCAGGAAGGAAGGGGAAATAACCTATGCATTCCTCCCACTCCACCTCCTGCCAGCTGGCCAGTGGAGGAGGTAAGAGCAGGCTGCACCTTCCTATAATTCCAGATCTGGAGTTTTGAGGGTTTTTTCAGTATGGTTTACAGGAACTGGTAAAAACACACATGTGCACGTCATGCTTCCAGTGCTCATGCATCCCAGTCCCTTCCCTGCCTGGATTCTCTTGTCTGCACTGAAAAAAATTTAAAACAATAAAAAATAGAAACACAGTTTGGTGCTGTCAAAAAAATCTGTTCCCTGAGCTAATGAGTCAGCTACTGAGGCATACACTGGTGGAATTCCTCCCGGGGTTCAGGAGGACTTCTAACTTCTCCAGTCTTTGAACAGGTGACTGTCCCTTGCCTTTCAAACAAGGATTTCAGATGGATTTATGCTAACAAAGGAAAGACTGACCAAAGTCTACAAACATAACAGTGCTCTTTTCCCTTGAGCTTCACAGAGCTTTGCAACAGGCATTAGCCAAAGCTTTTTAAAGGACATACACCAACTTCTTTCTGCACATGAGGAAACTGGCTCCAGAAGTGGTATCCAAGTAACTTGTCCAAAGCAGAACCAGAAGTTACAGACCTATTTCTAACCATCAGAATAACATTCATTTCAATAACTGGACTCTCCTATATCTTACCTCAGCTTTATATCCTTCTCAACAGAAACCCTTATTTTCAGCATTCATCTGAGAAACTCCCACCTCCACCTGGAAGATAATTCCAGTCCTGCTTAGAGCAGAGCATTGTGTCTTCTGCCACAGACTGGGATCAATAGCATTAAAAGAGCTACAATGATGCAGCCTTAGAAACTACCATGTCAGGAACTTCTTGGGTAGAGAGAGAATAATGAGGATGAGCTCTCTGCAGTTACCAAAGGAAATCCCCTGCAGGCACAGAGGTTTAGGCAGCTTCTCTTCTGTGTGGCCTGTAGCAGGTTTGAGCTCCTATTAATTAAATCCCACGAGGGCTCAGCGGCCAGCCCTCCATCCACACACAGGCATACACGGGCACAACAGCACCGACCTGGTCCCCTGTGCCTCTTCTCCATCCAGATGTAGCAGTTGTTCTGAGCCACGCCGGTCTGCGAGTCCAGGAAGGGCAGGCGGACGCTGCGCTCGGCGCACAGCCGCGAGTTGTAGCTGCGGCAGTGCTCGATCGCCTCCTTGTAGAACTGGTCCCCGAGCCTGCCAAGAGACAGGGCAGAGTTAGAAAGACTCAGCTGCCCCCTTCAACAGGACCAGGAAAATGGGGGCATAAGGTTGGTTTGAAAACGGACAAGCAGAAAAACTTTCTCTGAACGCACGCGAAGCTTGCTGGCACCAGATCGTGCAGAAAGAGCCACCGAGAGCTCAGGCTCTCAGGAGCTGGGCAGAGAGCTTACCAAGAGCTCAGGCTCTCAGGAGCTGGGCAGAGAGCTTAGCAAGAGCTCAGGCTCTCAGGAGCTGGGCAGAGAGCTTACCAAGAGCTCACGCTCTCAGGAGCTGGGCAGAGAGCTTACCAAGAGCTCAGGCTCTCAGGAGCTGGGCAGAGAGCTTTTCAGCAGTGGCACAGCTACTGAATGAGCAAGTGATGCAGCCACGCTGGCCCATGACCCTGCTCAGGCAACATATACACTGCAGTGAACTCATTCCGTTGTCCCTCTTCCCCTGTAGTTTGTTCAGCCAGTTCAGCAGCCCAGTCCTTTCAATCCTACGTTACAGCAACTCCCTCAGTACACTCTGAGCAACCAGAAAGCCGGCCAAGTTTAGAAGAACTTCACTCCAGCAGTTCTGGTGCCAGAGAGCCTGTAAGAGCAAAGGCCATAGTCCTCACATTGTGTGTTTCTGAGGCATGAAAACACAGCCCTTAACAACTAGAGCCATGTCTGCAATGGTCAGACTAGACATTTTGTCATAACCTTCCAGAGTTTTCAACAGTCAAGCCTGAGGCACCAACAGCAGCAGGCCACAACGGCGACCAGTAAGATCCAGCATGGCAAATGCTGCTTTCCTCTGGAGCCCAGTGGGAGGAACAGTTCTAAAGACAATGTCACTTATTTCATAAATAACTATTTGTTCAAAAATTCTGTAGAATTTTCATCTTCCCTTGAGAAGGCTTTTAAAACTCTGCCTGCTGGAGATTACCAAAATCCTCCCTCCACATTTTTCTAAACAGGGAAAAGCATCAAAGTGCAGCTACCCTGCGGACACAAAGCAGCTGTCGTGCTGGAGCAGTGCAAAGTAGGTGGGCCACGCTGCGAACCTCATTCTTGATCTATTGTCAAGGTGAAGTTCAGTCGTGACATGAATAGCTAGGAAAGCCACCCATTAGGGGCAAGTTCATTAGAAAAGAGGAGTAGAGTGATACGTAGCATAACTTGCTCTGACTCAGGTATTCATTAGTGTGCAAAAAGAGGATGGCATGCACAGCAAGGGAGCCGAAGGGATGCTCGCACAGAGATAAAAGAGGCTCCCTGTCCTCTTATTTGTTTTCCTCGCCACCCTCTTCCGTAGGCACAGTTGGCATTTTAAAAGTGTACTCCTTCTGCACACCTCTGAATGCCAAATAGGTGCAAATTGCTCTCTTTTACCATCTATGTCTTTTTTCTGACTGATGTCTTTTAAGTCACTCCTTGGTTGTACCTTAAGCCTTCC